CCTCAGAGATGTCTCGGGGCACTCAACTCCAGTGGCAAGGGAAACCAAAACAAAAGTAAACAAATAAAACTACACCAAACTAAAAACTTCTGCATGATGAAATAAACTATCACTCAAAAGATATCCTAATGGATGGGAGAAAATATGTGCACACCATACATTCAACAAGGGGTCAGTAGCTAAGGTGGATAAAGAACTCATATAACTCAGTAACAACAAATCAATAATGCAATCAAAAAATGGGCAAAAGATCTTAACAGACTCTTCTCCAAAAAAGACATACAGATGGTCAATAGACAAAAGAAAAAAAATTATCTTTGTTTATTATTAGGGAAATGTAAATCAGAACCACAATGAGATACCACCTTATGCTTGTGAGAATACCAAAAACAACAAGTGCTGGGGAGGTTGGCAAAGAAAGAGCCCTCATACCTTCCTGTTACTACAACAAAACAAATGCCACTGCCTGTGCTGTGCATCTCATTCACTCCAGCATGACCAGTATGCTTTCTGTGCCTTGTCCTTAAATATTTTCTGATCTTTTTCTTTACTCTCCTACAATAACATCATCATCCTCAAAACTCCCCATAATCTTAAAAAGGAAAGGAAAGAGTAGGAAAAAATGCTTTTCTACCATTTATCTTCCTCTACTTACAGCCAAACTTAACTTTTTCTTCAGTGCTTCCTTGCTTTTCCATTCATTCCTTAGCCCGTTAGGTCATGTGAGTTCCACCCTAACCATGTTTCCCTGAGACTAGACTTGTCATTGGCACTAGAGGTTTCCAAGTTGCTAAATACAAGGACATATTTCAGTTTTGATGTTACTTCTTTGAAATATTTGTTACTATTGGTTGCTCCTTTCTCTTTTTTGGGGGGGGACATAAAAATTTCAAACATTCAGAAATGGAATAATATCTAACTTCAATATAATAATAGAATAAATAAAAATAGAATAATATCTAACTTCAATATCAGTAAATGGCAAATCTTATTCATCTATATTCATCTAGATATCCATAAGGATGTTTATATATATAAAATCATACGTAGATATCTATTTATTCATCTATATCTGTGTATTTTGAAGCAAATTTCTGACATAAGAGAGCTCCTTTAAATATTTCAGTACACATCTCTAAAAGGAAACCTTTTAAAATGATCACAACATCATTATCAAACCCAATAATAATATCAACAAATATCAGATAACATTCATATTTCCCTAATAGCCTTCTATTTTTTTTAATGGGGTTTGTTTGAATCAAGATCAATATAGGACCCATATTTTGAGATTGGTTCTATTTTGGTTCTATTGTTCTATTTTGTTTTATTTTGTTTTGATACATACTTTCCACCTCTGTATATATTTTATCCCCTCAAAACTTTTTTTGGAGCAATGAAATCAGTTAATCCATACATTTCACCACAGTGTGGGTTTGGCTGATTGCATACCTGGTATTATTTAACATTTTGCATCTGTATCTCCTAATGCATGGACACTCAGAGATCTGGTGGATTGATAAGATTCAGATTTGATTTGGTGACCAAACCTACTTCAAAGATGGTATTGTATGCTTCCAAAATAATGAAAATTGTTTCTATTTTTATGATATTAACAACAGTAACTGCCTAGATCATGATTTGATCATATTCAAATCCTATCATTTCTTCTTCCTAATATTAGCAGAATATCTCTATAAAGAAAAACTTTCCTTTATTACAGTACTTACACCTAGTAACCCTGAAGTACAAATTATGTAGAAAAGACAGAATAAATGTTTGCTTCTTCCTGAATTAATAATTCATTCATTCTTTTACTCATCAGTCTCCAAAATAATGTGTTGGTTCCCTTAGTATCCTCCAAAGATAACCAATGAGTTTTTCCCTCCTTTTTTCAGTATCATTGTGAACTCATGAATCTGTTATCCTTATTGATGTTATTTGACCAAGGGGCACTTATTCAACTTGACTTCCAAGTCCTTTGACAAGACATTTGTAGTGTTTGATTTCCATTATGACAAAATAGATGTGTCTGATAGGTAGAGCTGTGAGTATGTATTCTTTTAGATTTAAAAGAGTCTCTACAGATTTTTTTCATCTTGAGTCTTCATAGCTATGTCCAGCTCAAATTCAGGATTACTACAGGGTTTTTACTTAACTTCTTGTATTTATATTTCCTTTCAACCCAGCTGATCAATCCTCAATCACATCAACATATTCAATTTATCTCATTATATAAATGCAACAATGTCAGAATAAGAGTGACAATATGACTACTGGAAGTAAAAATTTTTAGGTACTTTTGATTCTTAAAATATACTCCTTTAGAAATGTAGAGTGCAAATATAGGGAAAAAAATAACTATAAGAAAGACAATATCAAAATCAACAAGCAACTATGAACCAGAGACCCTCTTTGGGGGTGGGGGGCAGGGAAAGGAGAGATTGGGGTCGAAATAAGGGGGTTGTAATTATATGGGGAATATAAAAATAAAATAAAAAAAACAAATATAGGACTTTAAAGTCACTTACAATCATTCCTTACTGTAAGGTTTTCCCTCCACCTTGAACCACACTAAAGTTGAATTTTTTTTAAAGGATTTATTTATTTATATAAACACTGGGTACAGTCAGAAGAGTGGGAGGGTGAGAGAATTCACCAGAGCCAGAGTGGGGAACAGAACAGGCTGACTGACGAAATACACTGCTGAGGGGAGCAGCGGGCGTGATAGGAGAGGTCTGCACGCCATGTGGGACCCTTGCCTGTGGCCGGGGATCAAACCAGCGCTGCAGAGGCTGCGGGCAGCTTCGTTATTTTATTTTGTCTTGTAATTGTGCAAGATATTCATATGGCTTCCAAACCAAATGTACAAATAAGGCATATTCAGTGAAGCATGGCTATTAGTTTCTTTCAGCCTCCTACCTTCTATAAATAATATCTGTGTGTATGTGGTTTATCTTTCCAATATTTAAAAATATATGATATATATAAATATAACACTAAACAATGACAATATCCTATTTGTACTTTCCACCACCTTGGCTTTCTCATTTAAAAATATATCTTACACTGTTTTCCAAAGGGGCTGGACCAGTTTACATTCCCACCAACAGTGTAGGAGGTTCTTTCTTCTCCACATCCTCACCAATGCTTCTTGTTTCTGACATTTGCTATGGGCTATTCTCTCGGATGTGAGGTGGTATCACATTGTGGTTTGATTTGCATTTCTCTGAGGATAAGTGATGGTGAACTTATGCCTCTAAATCATATACAGTGTTGTAAACCAGTGCTATCTGAATAAAAAAAATACAATTAAAAACAAACAAACAAAAAAAGAATCAGAGAAACTGGAAATTTTACAAATGAGAAAATAAATTTTGTTTTCAAATAAATAAATATATACGCCAGAAATCATTCCTGAATAGAATGTGAAAGTCTTCATTTCTTACTATACCTGAACAGTTTTCTTTCATGTGGATGTACCATATTTTTGATCATCCAGTGATCTGTTGATGGACTTTTGGGTTGTTTCCAGCATTTTGTGATTATGAAATCCCTCTGCAGAAGCTTTTGTCTTATTTTGCTAGTACATCTTTCGCACAAATTCCTAGAGTGGGAATTGTTCTGTCAATGAGCTAATTTGTATATATTATTTTCAGAAGTTGCTGAATTCTCCTCCATGGTGTTTTATCATTTTTGGATTTCCAATTTCAATGTGTGAGGAAAAACTGTTTTCTTTCAGTCTACTTACAGAGTATATTATCAAAATTTTGGGTTCTTGGCAATCTGATAGTTGAAAGTCAGTTTCTGAAATTGGTTCTAGCTTGAATTTCTCTTACAAGTGACGTTGTTTTTCATACAGTTAGGAGCTAACTCTGTCATCTTGGCACAGTTTTCTCCATTAATACCCATGAAGCCACACACACACACACACACACACACACACACACACACACAGACAAATTTGAAGTTTTCTCCTATTTCTTGGGCTACCTTATCTGTTTTAATCTCCTTGTCTGGTTCCATTTCTCCTGCTTATTTCCTTATATCCCTTTTACTCTGGATTGTGCCTTAGCGTTTATTTTAAAATCCCTTCTTGCAAATCTGACTACTACTAAGTGTATACTTGCAGTCCAGCATTCTTCCTCTGCTTCTGTGTTCCATATCAAACTGCCTAGTGGACATTGTGACTTTACTCTGCCAGGAGCATGAGATTCAATTTGTGCAAAGTTCTTCTCCGACATGCCCTTCCTCTGGCATTTTCCAGTGCAGTGAAAGTTCCCACAAATCAGTAGTAGCCTCCATCACAAACCTGGGATTTTTTTCTGATGATCCTAGTCTCACCTTGGTATCAAATCAATCACCAATTCTGTGGCTTTTATCTCTTAAATGGCTCACCAATTCCTCTGGTACTCTCCATCCCAAACTACTGGTCTAAACCACTGTCATTTCTTCCCTAAATTACTGTACCTTCCTTCTAGGTGGTCTTTCCTTATCTTGCTCTCCTACATGTTCAGAATGATCTTTTCAGATACAAATAATATGGTATCATTTGCTAGCTTAAAAACCTCCAAAGGCTCAAAACAACCCTTTCCCCAATCCAAGCATTATATTTATGTAGGAACATTTGTATGCATGTGAGTGATGCAAAGCTCTGTAAGATTAACACTAAGCTGGTAACCAAGGTTATTTCCAGGGAGAGGACAATGAAGGGAAATTTGTGGGCAGGGTTAGTGTTGAGGTTTCATCATTATTTGAACATTTTACAATTAGAATATTTTCAAGTGATAATGAAATATTGAAAAATAAATAAAATGGGGCTGGAAAATGAATGTTAATTAGCTCTGAGGCATTTCAGGCTCCCCAGCAGGTTGTCCAAATTCCCACAGTGCCAGGTAATATGGAAGAGACTTCACATTCTCTATAACTCCCCACGGGGAACAAAACATTGTCCTTTGCCTGTGTATTATTCTGAGAAATTTCAATCAAGGTATTCTTACCTTTGTAGTCCACAGTTTGACAGTCCAGTCAAATGATGATGTGACAAACAGGTGTGAAAAGTCGATTGGACCCACTGCCATGTGGCAGTTAATTCCTGTCACTGGCCCTTGGTGACCTTCAAAGACCTCACCGATACCTGCTTTGCTGCACGAAGACCACACATGAACAGAATTTCAGTGACCTTTTAAAACCAGTGCATGCTTAAAAACAAACAAAACTTTTGTCTGTGTGATTACATCACCATAATTTAGAAGAACCATGCATCATCAACGATGAAATCACTTTCACAGTTACCTTGAGAGAAAGAAATTGTTTGCAAACGTGCTAGACTATTTTTGTAATAGAAATATTCTATTATAGGTGTTCCTCAAATTCTACCATTGTTGATGCAGCTACTATAATTGTAAACATACATACTTAGACTCAGAAGCTTTCATATTTTTAATAAGTGTATTCTTGTTATGACATTTGGCACCTGTTCCTTTTTAACTCCCTTTGGGGAGCCTAGTGGCTGTAAAATTCCACACATCCTCGTATACCTACATTTATCTTTTCAAGGAAATTTCTTAGGCTGACATACCTAAAATGTAATATTCATCAAAACTCTTGTCACCAGAAAATAATACACATAATTTAAATGTAATATGGAGAAAATGATTTCTTCACTAAAAGCAGAAGAGAGATTTGCAAGTCCACTAAATATAAATTCCATAAGGTCTGGTGCTTTGCCTTTCTTGTTACCAAATGTTTTGTATATAGTAAGTGCTTGACAAATATTTGTTGAAAGAAATAACAAAGGTAAAGAGACAAATGTATGCCCTTTTTTTCAACAAAACAACTTTTGAGAAATAGTGATATACATTTTGAAAGTTATCAACAGACATACTTTGCTTAAGCTGGGATTATTGCCACTTCCCCCCACCCCCATTACCACATAATAGTCTGTATGCAATCATAACCAACTAGAAAATATACTAAAGTGCAATATTGTAAAATCTGATGTGCATGAGGTTACACATATGACAAATACATAGGAATTGTGGAATCTAAATATTGTGTCACCAGAGTAAAAATGAGTTAAGTTATTAAAACATTTTGACTTCTGGAGCACCAATAAATGTCAGTGTGCTGAGCAAAATTTGACATCATGAGCAAAGTGCTGCAGTGTGTGTTCCATGTAACAGGCACTCAAAAATTATGCCCAGTGAAACTGCTAACAGCCCTTTCACACACGTGATCATTTAAATTTGTTCTAATGAACACGTGGAACTGATCTTTGAAGTGGCCCCTGGTGAGACTCCACTTGCTCTTAACAGCATCCTGAAAGGGTTTATAGGGTGCAAAATGAGGACCTTGTTTAATTTATGGAAGTGGATTTGCACCTTCTCTATGTTAGGTGGAAAATAGAAATCCCTGCCTCTGGGTCCCTAAGTATGACCCATTTGAAATTATTGCTACACAGCCAAATGCTGGCTACTTTGCAACTTTACTAGGGTCTGTATTATATATTTCAGATGGATGGACCTTTGTGAAAAGCAGAATCAAGCTTGTTGTAAAAAGATCGGTGTCGTGTACCTTGGGGACTCTTCCTTTGAACCACAGTCCATATTTTTTTTTTTTTTTTACACTGAGTTTCATAGTAATTCTTTTTTTTTTTAATTAATAAATTTTATTTTTATATTCCCCATACAATTGCAATCCCCCCATTCTGATCCCAATCCCTCCCCTCCCGCCCCCCGCCCCCCAAAAAGTGTCTCTGGTTCATAGTTTTTGTTGATTTTGATTTTCACTTTCTTATAGTTATTCATTTTCCTTGTCCCTTATTTAAGTTTTCTAGATTCCTGCTATGAGTGAGACCATCCGGTATTTTTCTTTTTCTTTTTGGCTTATTTCGCTGGGCATGATCCCTTCCAGCGTCATCCATGTTGCTGCAAATTGCATGTGTTTATCTTTTTTGAATGCTGAGTAATATTCCATGGTATATATGTACCACATCTTCTTGATCCAGTCATCTATTTTTGGGCATTTGGGCTGTTTCCAAAGCTTAGCTATTGTAAACAGTGCTGCTATAAACATAGGGGTGCAGGTGTTCTTTGGAATTGATGTTTCTGTGTTCTTTGGGTAAATACCTAGGAGTGGAATTGCTGGATCCTGTGGAAGCTCTATGTTTAGTAGATCCAGAAATCTCCACACAGCTCTCCATAGTGGTTGGACCAGTTTGCACTCCCACCAACAGTGCAGAAGAGTTCCTTTTTCTCCACACCCTCGCCAACATTTGTTGTTGCTAGTTTTTTTAATATGTGCCATTCTCACTGGTGTGAGATGGTATCTCATGGTAGTTTTGATTTGCATTTCCCTGATTGCAAGTGATGTTGAACATTTTTTCATATGCCTGTTGGCCATTCGCATTTCCTCTTCAGAGAAGTTTCTTTTTAGTTCCTCTGTCCATTTTTTGACTGGATTATTTTACAAAAATCAACTCAAAATGGATTAAAGAACTAGACATAAGACCTGAAACCATAAAATACATAGAAGGAAATATAGGCGAAACACTACGTGATATTCACATCAAAGACATCTTTACAGACACATCACCCAAAGCAGTGATAGTGAAGGCAAAGATAAACAGCTGGGACTACATCAAATTAAAGAGCTTCTGCACAGCAAAAGAGACAATAACAAAAACAAAGAGAAACCCCACCAACTGGGAGAACATTTTTGCACACAACACTAATGATAAAGGACTGATCACAAAAATCTGCAAAGAGCTGATGAGACTCAACAACAACAAAGAAAATAACACAGTCCATATTTTGGTTGTGCTTGAAAAGGACAATAGCCACAGAACAAAAATACTCATGTAAGAGGTTATTCAGATTAGAGAAAAAAAACCCTGAGTTATCTATAATCATGTTCTGTATCCTTCATAGATCATTAAGTTGGATAATTGAGTCAATTGAACTTATGACATGTTGATTCCAATAGATGTGTAGGCAAAGTTGCGACTCCACGTTTGGACCACTGCATTCTGTGTCTCTTTCCTGCCACATGACATTCTAGTTGTATTGCAGATATTTGTGCATTTGCATTCCCACCATTCTTGAAGGTAGGAACCTGGATTAAATGATGCCTATCTATCTGTGCGGCAACTATTTGCATGAATGAACAACTTGATCAAATCTTTTTATGCTTTAATAAGACTTTAATGCACGTCCCTAGCCAATGCTTATGAAAGAGGAACACTGGGCATAGAATTATAAGGCATGGCTTTCTAGTCATCTTTAAATCTTGTGAGTGGTGCCAGTGCTGTTTGTTTCTCGGTGCAGAATATAGGAACGTCATAGCTCGTATTGGGTGAATGGAAAAATCACATGGCTGGGTCATCGATGCTTGCTAATTCTACCAATCACAAAAACTCAGGAGTTTGAACTTTGCACAATTTGTGGTTCCTTATTAAATATAAAGAGCCTGGGATAAATGTAAATGATGAAAGATCAGTTGAATTACAACTACTAAAGTGAAAGAGAAATTAAGTACCACAAGTGAACAGAATTGAACCTTTCAAGAGGGATGAGGCCTCTCATCTCAGTTTTGCATGTGATTTTATCACCTGGTCTAGATTATTGGATTTCACTTCATCCTGACGGATCTGTTTCCCAGGGGCATTTGCCAGTCGTGTCCATCAAGGCAGAGTTCTTATCACTTGAAAACTCTACAGTGGCTTGTATATGTCATACTGTTCTACTCTTGCTGACTGGAAGAAAGGGGCCTAAGGCACTTCTCTATATTATTTAGATATTGTCATTTCTTTATTTCCCATGTGGATTTTTAGCTATTCACTTCCTGCGTGCTTGACACCAGACAAGGAATCAGTGATGAAATGGAAATTATTTAGTAAGGGAAAATGGCAAAATGGTAATTAAAATAAAATGTGATTAATGCTATTGTAGAAGAATACATAAAAACATATAAAATAGCATACCTATTCTGTACCTGTGGTCCTAGCTCACTTACTCTACTCTGACTTTCTTCATAGAAATTATTCTTAAAAAACATTTATTATTTATTAGCTTATTGTCTTTGCCCCTTAGCCAGAATAGGCACCCCAGGCCTGTGTCTTACTGCATCCTTATGATGTGATGGTGCCTAGCACATGATGACTTCTTAGGAAATTCTTGTGAAAGAATGAACAAATCAAAGGAATAAACATGCCATAGACTCATAAGGGAAGGATGGCTTCCTTGCTCAGTAGAGTCAGGAGAGGCTTCTGCATGTCATGGCCTCTATGCTGGCTCTTGAAGGATCAAGAGGACTTAACCAGGCCAATAGCAAGAAATGTCAGACCCAACAGAAGAAATTGAAAGTAATGGTCTGGTGGGATAAGCAGTATTTGGGAATTGTTATTCCTGATGTACCTGTAACTGGAGCATGCTAAGGCTGGGAAGAGGAAGGTAGTCAAGGACTCATACTATATGCTAAGAAGCTTGAACTTTTTTCCCTCAAGGCAATGTAAACCATAATAGACTTAAAAAAGGCTGATGACCACAGCAGACGGCTGCTACAAGATAATGAAAACTTGAGATTATACTTGGGCATTTTTTCAGTAATGTTGTTCTCATAAATGCAAGGTGGTTACAACCCAGAATGTGATAACAGACTTTGGGAAATGAGGAACGCGTCATCTGTAAGAAAACGGAAAATCACCTTCCATGACGACAGGCTGTGTAGACTGTACCCTCCTCACTGCCAACCACAAAGTTATTGACGTCTCCTGTCGGGAAAGCCATTCCGGTAACAGCCACAGGCTTGGACTTATTGTACACCAGCTCCATGCTCTCCTACCAAAACACAGAGTGGTTACATTCCCTCTGTCAACTCCTTGCCGTGCCAAAGATAGCACGGAAAAATCATTTGGCTAAATCATCTGTTTGCTTTTCACAGTGTTACAAAAGACCCCAGCTGTGCCAGAAACCACGCTTTACTGCCCCTGACATTCCTGCTTCTGTGTATCTCTGGTTTCAGGCCGGCTGGATTTCATCAGCGTGTGCTGCTGCTTCTTAAGTCAGGCAGAGATGACAGGTGAGAATTTTGAAACTAATGGTGCAGAAACTAAAGATAATACTGTAATGGTTACACTTGTCAGCCCCAGGCTTTAATAAAACACACAATACCCTTGTATTTACAAACATTTTCAAAATCAATTGTTCGTGACAATACACATGTATTAATATCAGATGGACTAAGCACATTTGTCAAAGGAGGAGTGTGTGTCCTCCATGGAATAAAACCAGAAAGTTGTCACTCGGGTCATCAAAACCAGATTTCAACAGGGACTAGATTCCATGAAGGGCCACTGTTGGGGATGTAGGCGAGAAGCCTCAAAGAATGGTGTTTAAATGATTCTTTAAGATAGTAAAGAGAGTTTTTATTTTATCTGAACTGGTTATTAAAATTCAGTATTAAAGGGTATTTTAAGAGAATTCTGCTGAATTAAGTTTATTGACAGTGAAGAGGAATTAAGTATCACGAACATTCGTGAGTAATCTGGCTATCTATATCAAATAGCCACTCAGTACCCAAAATGATTTTTTTTTTTTGTGGGACCCTCGCCAGCAGCCGGGGAACGAACCAGCACTGCAGAGGCTGCGGGCAGCCTCGCAGCTCAGCGCTCAACCACTGCGCCACCAGGGGAGGCCCCCAAAATGATTTTTAAAAATCATGTCATTGTAGTTGCTTGAGAATTCAGTCATCTTGTGCAAACAAGTAAAGCAGGTCATCTCAGTCAAGGAGTCCATAAACTGGAAGTGCGTGCTAACAGTCTGGGTACACAGACCATGGGGTCATGTGATATGCCCACCACCGTACCTGATATGCACACATCGTGAGCCTCCATGAGGCAATGCTATAACAATTTAATGCAGAGAATGTTCTTCTGCACTGCTAAAATGGAGCATCAGGGAAGGTATTGTTTCTTGGCTGCCCACTTGGGAGAGAGAGAAACCCAGGCAACTGTTGGATGTTCCCCTCTATCCTTGCTGTCCAGGGAAGTCTGCCGTGAAACTTCCAATCTCTGTAAAGAGACAGGAGTCTACAGGCATGCTGAAACTAATAAAATGGGCTTGTAGCCCATATATGACTGGTTTTAACCTAAACAAATACGTGTTTAATCAGCAAAATGGGCAACTAAAAATTCCCAAATAGCAGGTTTGCTCTTGTGTATGTTGGTAATCTCCATGCTTTTAAAAGAAAACAAGTCCCTGATGAAAATTTTAAGAGAAAACCATAAAATACCCACAACTTCTGACTTATATAATGTTAAAGATCAGCAAAATAGAGGAAGTTAAATTGTAAGGAGTTTGTTAGCGCTTTCTCTCTCTCCACCCATTACCGCCCCCATACAGAGAATGTATTGAGTCTTTAATAGTGTTCTCTACATCTGTATTTATCTCCATAAAGGAGGCCCTATAGTTTTCACATTTTCTTATGTAAGTTGAAACTTCAGTGTCTTCTAGAATTGTGTGAGAGACATTCTAAGGTGATTATTTCAGGGAAAGGAATGGGAATATTAAAATTGAGAATTATCAACTAGGTATCTTTTATAATTTTTATGATGTACCCTCACATTTTTGTCAAGGGCTTTAACTGTGTACTCTTCTCTGTTTTTCAGTTGGAGGGTAGTGAAGTACTTTTTTTTCCCCCACCAACCACTGTGGAGAGAGTGTGTGTGTATGTTTATGTGTGTGTGTGTACGTGTTCTCTTGTATCTATGTTTACATACATAAGGTCTGAAAACTGCAATAGATGCCTCCTCCCAAAGCTCTGTTCCACGTTTGCACCTTTGGTTCCCAATAGTGTAGTCAGTAGTGGTTTAGAAACTTTGAAACTTTTTCATTTTCCACTTCTCATTTATTTATTGAGCAAGGAATGGCAGGAATCGTGCTAGCAAACATTTCAGGGAAGAAAACAGATGGTTTGATAAATTCTTTATACATATCGGTGGTTGTCTAGGCTATGGATACAAGCAAGGACTTGGGTTTCTGTTGGCTGGGCTACCTTTTCTCCAAGACAAGTACCTGTCTGGGATTGCTATGCTAAACTCTAACCTCATTTGCATTTGTTTAACTATGCTGTAGGGTAAATACAATTCCTACCACAGGCAACTTCCATAATTACTTTGAAATGGATTATTTCTTTTTCACTTTAAACTGACCTAAGGATTAATGTATTACAATAATTACATGATCTGTGGTAAAGGAAATGGGTTTTGGCTTCAAGAGACTACTGATAGCAGACCCCACTCTTTCAAGTGCATCCATTCTTTTTAGCTCCTATAGGATATGAGGGCTTGGCTTTTAGGAACTATGTTCCATTAGGCAGATACCTCTTTTAACCAGGATGCTCCTATGTGTAGGGGAAAACAAACCCACCTGCGGAGATGAGAGCATGTCCAAGCTCCAGGAACACATTTTTCCATCCGTGGAGACAGTGATGAGGTTATGAGCATTTTGGGTCCCAACAACATTTACACAGTACACGGGATGCTGCAAAAACATAAACATGGAGGATCAAACTTCGATCCAAAAGGAAATGCTTACAGTTGAGTGTCAAACACATTACTCTAAAACAAGGATTAAAGAGTGACATAATCCTACAGTAATACAAGCCTCAGGTCATTTGCCACTTTTGATTTGAACCTGATTCTTTCTAAAAGCTCTGGCAGCAACACATAATAGTGGAAATACTTACAAAGCTTCACCTTGCTCAGTCAGAGGCAGTGAAACAGAGCTGAAGGAAGCGAGAGCAAATGAGGATTGATGGGGCCAGAGCAGCACGGGGAAGTGATTTTGGATTGCTCGAGTGATTCTTCATAGCTTGGCTTCTAAGCTCCCCATGAATGATGGAAAAAGACAGTCTTTAAAAGGGTACAACTATTGACTTTTGGAAGGAACGAGTGTTACTAAATCTGGAATTTAATGCATTATAGTCACAGTGCCAAACATTTAATGTTCTTTATAAAAAAAAGTGGCTAATATTCATCAGCTTCTTTAATTTGAGGGAGAGACATTGGTGGTAGAAATTACTGGCACAGCGCACCTAGTGAGATAAAATTAGGTTCTTTTATGTTACTGCAAAATCTAGGATAATGATAGATTTGTTTTTCAAAATATCAGTTGGGGTAGTGTGGAGGCTTAGGTTTGGCCAAGGTCTTGAGAAAGGTCATTTCTACATCCCGGGAATTGTAAGCAAGATACTCTAACGTTCTGTCATGACTCTAGTAGATTATCCCACTCTGTAGAATCCTAAATGGTAGGCTAAAAATCATTTGCAGCTGCACATTAAACACTAAATGGAAGGTTAGTATAAGTAGAACATAGCAGTAATTTGGGTTAGATTTAAGGCAGCTTAGCCATCAATGGCCAAACCACAGCGTACTTGATGCTTCTCTGTGCAAATAGCTGACAGTCTGAGTCTTACTCTTGATGAGTTACTGTCCATAATACCTAGCCACAACTACAATGAAATAATCTTTAATATTGGAAAGTTGATATTATATAAAGGATGCTTCCCAAACTATTATTATCATATAAACTCCTGGCCAGAAGGAACCATAATAATCATCTAGTGCGGCTGCTCATCTGCCTGTACAGTGATTATCCAGACTCCGCTTGAACACCTTTCTTAAAGGGTAGCCAGTTTCAGTATTAATTCCCTCCTTCCACCAATGGGAAAAAAGAAAGTTCACAGAGGTACTTTTAGTGCAGTGCCCGCTGAGATCATAGATCAAGTAAAAAAAAAAATTCATCTTTTTGAATAAAGAGTATTGTTACATTAACCTTTCCTACACTCCCCCCCCAGTCTTGTCTTACCCAGACTTATCATCATCAATTCCTTCAGCTGTTTCTTGAGTACCTTCCCCATCCTGGTCACTTTTTTTTTTTTTTAATATATTTTGTCTGAATTCCTCTTGCATTGAAGTTCTGAGAATGAAACACAACTGTCTACCTTATATTCTAACGAGCAGAATATAGAGATCCAGAGACTGCTGAATTGTCACTTCTCATGATAAAAATATGCCTGTATTAATTTATCCTAAGATTACCTTCTTTTGGCAATTGCATCACCTATTTACTCTTGCTAACCGATAGTCAACTCAGTCCCTGTGTATTTTCACACCACGTTCCTACAGAAATTTTCAAATGAATAGGTCTTAGTGGATCTGGTCAGTGGCAATTACCGCAGAGAACTGACACTAAATGTTACCCGGGTCTCTGATTATCAAAAGTACCGACCAGTTGTAGGACTCTACACAATGCTCTAAGTCTCTGGTGTATGTGGAACCTATGGCAATGCGCAATCACACAGCGGCCAAACTCTGCCTTAAAATCAAGTGGAAGAACAGGTGAATTATCACCTAAACCAGCACATTTTCTAGAATGGGAGAATGGGAAAGCAAGGTCTAAACATTGTTATGCTCCTGAAATCTACTTAGTATTTTTCCACAAGAATCCTTGGGATTCCTCTGAACAACAGCATAAACCACCTTAACCCAGTGTATTGGATTCCTTAGAGTGAAATAGGGAAAGAAGGCATCTAGAAGAATGTATATAGCCAAACACCTGCAGAAGACCTGTGTGTGGTAGTTCCTCCCTGGCTTTAATCAGTACTACTGGCCTGCGCTTTCATGAGTAATAAAATTCAGTTGAAAAGAGAGAGATATGAAGAAACCAGAACAGCAGCAGACATGTGGGCATGCCCACACACACACACACACACACACACCCTCTACTTAATGGGAACAAAAAAGAAATGGTAGAGCTCATTTTTCCAGTATAGATGCCAGATTGTTTTATTTACTTTAGGAATAAACTTACTGTGTGGCAGAAGGATTTTGTTTTAATTAGGATTTCCTGTTGTCTCAAATGCATATGTGTGGTGGGTGTGAAAGGAAATTAGTTAGTAATCTGTGGTGGTCTCTTTCTCCTGTTTGATCCTGGTCCCAATCAGCCGGGCATAAGTGAATGTTGAAAGACAGTCACAAAAAATAACTGCGCACTTTCAGTTATGAATTCAACTAAACACAGCCTAACATGAAAAAAAAGTTTTTTGTTTTATTTTCTAACAAAAGGTTACTCTGTCTGATCTTAAGAGTATTTCAGTTATCATGGTCATATCCAAGTTACTTGACAAAGAAACTTTAGCTCCTTAGAAGAGCTCCTGGATTTAGATTCTCCCCCAAAAGCTTATTGTGCATTGTTCTACCTTTCGGACTTACTATTTTTTGAAATTTCAGAAGGTGTGCTCACAAACACACCAGATATTCACATAGAGCCAAGGAGTGGTTTCATTCCACTTGAGCAAACACCTGCATCAAGCCCATCTTCTTCTGGGGTCACAATTTTCTGTTATTAGTTTGGGGAAATGGGGTGAAGCAAGAGCAATTTTCCAAGATTCCCAAGAACTAGTTTCACCTGTGTATGTCTTTGGTCCAAGTCAATCAGAATTAAGGCTGACTTGGTATTTGTCAATTCCCATTGTCAATCTTACGAGAGCAGAAGAATTTTCCTCTTCATGGTCTTAGCTAAAGCACCAAGCAGTCCATTTTTCAAGCCAGAATGGTTTTGAAGCCAGCAGATGAAATAAATGAGGCAACCACATTAAGGAAATTGAAACAATAGTAGAGCTGTATCATTGGGCATAATTTGGGCATTTCAGAGAAAGAACATCAGTTATCCTGAATGTCAAGGTAGCGGGGATTGATGGAGACATGCCTATCTTCTCATTCCTCGAAACAATTGCTAAACACACCTGTCATTCTCTTAAAGGAAATGACAGCGTAGTTGTCTTACGAAGACTATACTGAACCTCTTCTGCTAAATTATGGGTAATGGCTTTGAGATGTTGACTTTTAACCCTAGGGATTATATTGTCACTGCAGACTTCACTATTGAGACTAATACCACACATTCCAGAATTTAAAGTCATAGCAGCAACCCCCATCACAAATCAAAAATGCCTGTTAGCGATAGTCCCATCTACCAGCCCTAGACATGAAATGCTTGCGCTTTGTGGTCTATTTGAAAATAGAAGTTTCCACCTTAAAATGTAAATGTAAAGGATTTCTTTAGAAAAACAACTTCACAGATGCCTTTTCCAGAGTATCTCTCTGTGTGCTTTTTAAGTTTTAATCAATCCTCAAAGGTGGCCTCTGGGAAATTCAAAAAGATCCTTTCTATGCACTTACAACTTGCAGATTATTAAGAGATTTCTCTAAATTCAGTGCTTTTTCACCTGCTTGTCTCCCAGTTTTTTTAATCACAGTCAAGTTAACAATCACTATAAAGTAGATATTTCTAACTAGAGTTACTGACATCTGTACTTTTTTCAGTTGAGTTAACCCCTCTTCCAGGGCTCAAGTGACTTAACAGAGATGGGACAAAAGCTTGACTCACTGTGTGTGCAGCTGCCGACAAGGGTGTCCGCTGCACTGGTGTCCTTCGATGACTGCGATTGTCCCACAGGACGATCTGGCCCGAGTAGGTCCCACCAACCACCAAGTTGGGATGGAAACGAGCAAAGCAGACTGACATCACAGAGGACTGTGAGGGTAAAGGGAAGAGAGACGTATTGTGAAAAGTTGGAGAAGGCTTGTTTTTTCCCTGAAGAGAAAACAGTTCATCACATAAACTCAGTACATCCTGAAAAACAAAACGCAGTTTAAAGCTGGATGGTTAAGTGCAAAGACAGTAGGAAATTTTATGCACAGATACAGGACTTTTCCTTGAGAGGTTGGCTGGTGGTTACCCCCTGAAATTTGAAATTTGAAGTCTTGGATATGTCATCAAATAGGCATAAAACCTATCTATGTACATCATGGTTTTGTGGTCTGTAAAGCTTAGTTTATGGACATTTCCATTTATCGATAAAATTGCATCAGAACTATACGAATTCACCATGATGTCTTTACAAAGCAGCTCCTCACTCTGAGGGCATGGCCACATCAAGTTATGATGTGTATAGTGTTGGCAAGGCTTTGAGAACTTTTGAGATGGAGTGTTTCTTTTGTTTTTGTTTTTGGCTTAATGGAGACTTCTAGGAAGTGCACTGACCTCAGACCGATCCAACTGGTTCCTCCCCAAATTCCCTTGCCTCACTGACCTTGATCCTGCCCACTTCAGACAATCCTTAATGTTATTCTTTGCCTATTTTAACAAACAGTCAGAAATGGATTTCAGTCCAGCTCTGCCATGGTCTGTCATAGCATCATGAATGTGGTTTCTGAAGTTCCATAAAAGACTACTGGGCACTACATTTTATAGGAAACTGCTTAGCTGAGACAGAATCATGATATACTTAAAATCAGACAACTCAGCCGTCTTACATCCACAAAAACCTCCATTTTGATTCCTGTAGTGCTTTCTATGTTCACCTTCATGTGCAAAACAATCGTTTTTAAGAAATACGTTTCCTCCCTTCAATGAAATTCAGTAAGTGCTGTTAGGTAGAAGCAAGGCATTGTATTAGGCACAGTGAGTATACAGAGGTAACCATTGCCCTCAACAAACTGGTGCTCTGGTAAAGGAAACTAAAATCCATGCACATGGATGAACACATGGATACAAAGGATATGTGAGCAGAACGGCTGGTGGTCTGTACAGTGCTTTTGTAGGAAGTAGAAAAAGGGGCTTTATCACAGTCATGTGGGCAGGTGCATGCCTTGGCAAGTGGAGAATAAGATGGATGTTTGTCCCTATTGTCCCTTGAGATAGACCTTCTTGGCAGGGCACACATTGTACACCCAAGTGACAGCCTTGAATGTGATATCTGCCATGGCCAAATCCTAGGAGCATGTGTGTATTTGTGTGTGTGTGTGTGTGTGTAGAGGGGAGGGGCAACAGGAATGGTGGGAAGATTTGTTTTAAGCAGGGGAGGGGAGAAAAGAGGCAGCTGGAAAGGGTGGGATGAAGACTTCATCAAAGGGATGTATTGCTCCTTGAAGGATGTGTGAAACTTAAAGCAGTGGAGAGGAAAAGGAACAGGTAATCTTGAGAGATGGGATAATGTGAAGAAAGATTTGGAGGCAGCAAAGCAGGCTGGTCAACAGCCTAGTCTGGTTTGACTGAGAAGGAGCTTGCATGGAAGAGACAGATTTAAAAATGTAACTGAAAAGGTAGCCTGCGCCAGAAAAGCAAAAGCCTTGAATGGAGCCTTGGATTTTTTCCTGTGGGTAATGGTGAGAAAATAATGCTTTCTGAGCAAAAAAAAAGTGAGATCAAAAGTTGTCATTGATAATCCAACAAAGTAAACAAGTGATTGAAAAGAAATTATGACTTCTTTATGCCCAATGAATTAAACATGCATCTATTAAAAAAAAAATCTGATCCACTGTCAGTCTACTCAGAAACAGTCTCATATACTCTAAGGTAGAATAAAGAATGTAGACTGTTTTTCAATGTCATGTTTTCCTAGTTGGAATCATTTTCAGTTTCAATTCCTTGAACATGATTCAATGGTGAACATGCTTGTGCCCCAATATGGTTTTCATAAAGTTCAAGAATAACTTTCAATAATGATACTGATTTAAGGAAAAAGAAAATAATGCTGGTCAGCTTCTTGTTTTACACATCCCACAGAAACGTTTCTTAGTTTTCAATTGATGAAATTCTTATGTTGCTTGAGCTATGTTGGGAGACTTTTTTTTAAGCTTCAGAAAGACTTAAAATTATCCAGGTGGTATTGACAACTGAATTGAGCCAAAGCTCCAATCAATATGGATAAAGGAATGCCATTAACTTTGAAAAATCCAGAATGCAACCACTTGATTGCTTCCGTATTTCTGTTAAATCCCAGCAAATACTACTCCAAGCTTTTCTTACTAGAGAAAAATAAACAGAGTTATTTCTACAAAACTGAAACATGTATCTGGCAATCAACTAGAATCCAACCTTACACGGTGGATTTTTTTCATTCATATGTTTTTTCACTCTTCATTCATCAAACACACAGTGCCAAAAAGTACTAAATCATTAAAAAAAAAGTTAAAATGTCACAAAGCCCCCATCTTGAAGTCAGAATTCTATTTCCATTTGATAAAACATCAAATTAGTGCAAAAAAAGAATAACATCTTGGAGCACAAGATTTCTGCCACCAAAGTCTACTTTGTTTTGCTGCAAATCAATCTTTACAGTATCTTCATGAGGAGAAAGAGTAGACATACTTATTTTTTTCTTAGATTTGGAAGATTAGAAATGGAGAACTAGTTATAGGATTCATTGATTTGCTTACTTTTTGAAGCTCAATACATTAATTATAGTAATTATTCTATGTATAATAGAATATATAGAAGGGTTTGAAGCATATCTCTAGGGTATGCCTTACCTGACATACTAGCACCTGACATACTATCATTCATATGGAAATACCAAAGCAGAATGAACTCAGTCATCTAGATACAAAGTTTAGAAGTTATTCATTTCTTGAGATGTTTTTAAGTAGTGTAGTGTTTGATGTAATGGTGGCAAACATTTGGGTGAGCGACTGAATTCATTTTCATCCAAATGTTTAGCTACTGTTAGACATGTGGGAACAGTCTCCCAACTCCAACCCTGACAATGAAAGTTTCTATTCTAATTTGAGGAATTTTTATCAATCCTCTCAGAGCACCCAATCTTAGAAAAACCCCAGCAAGCTCCTGCCCTTCATACAGCTACTGATTTAGTTGTTGTTACCAGTTATCATGGGATTTACTGACCGTTAGTAACAAGAACAAAGGATTTTATCTACTATCCTGTCAGTAACATATATTTGGTAAAGAGTAAAAAAGCATTCTGAAAAATTGACACTATTAAAATATATGATTTACATTGTTGCTTATTTTCAACAGTACATTTTCTGAAGACAAATTTTATGGAAAATACTATTAATAATAGTAATGATATTTAAAAATATCATCGCTTCTCTAGGCATCTAATGGTTTGTATTTATTCAGCTATTCAGTGTCATTATAAATCATTGATAAATTATATGATTAATACAATTTGGACAAACTTAATTGGAAAAAGGAAGTTTCCCTGCCTGGTTATTCTTGGCTCTAGAATACATGTCTGCATAGATAGTTTTGTAGCTTTAACTTTTTACCTATTTTATTTTTTAAACCATTAAGCACCTCAGAATTGTTTTGAGAACTAATAAATGGCCTTCAACCATTCAAATTAAGTAGTTTACACAGTGGGGAAAATAATAAGGTTGGCCAGAATTTTTGAACAATGTTAACTTTAATGAAAGTAAGCTTTCTTGATATTGCAGTTGAAATTTATTTTAACAAGGCTAGTGATTTCATTGACATGGCCATATTCAAAAACAAAAACAAAAACATCCAGGGGTCTAGAAATGTAGTAAGCTCATGTCAAAGGCTTGATGTAAAACTGGTAAGTGTGGCTATGTTTCAACACAAGTAACAGTAGGCATTCCGTGAGTAATCACCTTTTCCAATAGGATGAACATCCCATATTCAGGAACATCCCCAAATCAGGACAAGCAATGTTTAGAGACTGTGTTTTGAGGATCAGGCCATCATCATTGACAATTTCTGGTGTCTTCCACAGGCTCAAAAGTGCAGAAACTCTTGAGAAAATTTGGCTACTGGCCTGTACTGGTCATTTCTGAAAAGGTAGTCTTTCCACAGCCGCACTGCCACACATCCACTTGTACAAAAGCTGGCCCACTACACAGGGCCCCTCACCCTCATTGTCCATTTTGAGACAAGGTGATTTATTTTATCTCATTCATCATGGGAATTCCACAGGGACTGGTGGGGTGGAGACAACACTTTGAATGTCTCTCTTTGCCAACTGCACACCACTGCACTCAGGATGGCCCCAGCCCCTCTGTAAGAGGCTGTGGGGGACTGTTTTTTATTTTGTAGAGCTAATCCAGGCCAGCTTAGGGATGGTACTTCCCCTTAACCACAGACCCAGATGCCTAGGGCCAACAGCCTTTGGTCATTGCTGGCTGGGCAACTCACCCCCTATGTCCACATTTGATCTGGTTGCCCATGTCCTTCTGTGTGTGGCACTGTGCCCACTTCCCAGCCTGGGTGGGAGGGATACAGGTCGTGCATTTAAAAGCATCTCCTATTTCAAGTACCAGCTCTTCTGGGAAGAGATTCATCCCCAGAGGGAATGGCCATATTGTTGCCATATGCTGTTTAATGGTGGCTGACATTTTATTTGCCTAAAAGTAAATGCTTAACTGTCAGAGGGCTGTAAGGCAGACAGATCAGATGTGTCTGGCTACTAGTGAGCTAGTATATATTTCTGCAAGTACCTAAAAAACCCACAAATATATTTCTTTTGTTAATGGAAATAAGTGTAATTGGAGAACATTGCTGTCGAAAACCCCTCTTTTAGGCAATCATGTAGCACTAGGCAGCTGACAATGTGGAAGGTGGGAAGGTGGGAAAGCCAAGACATGAGTCATAAGTTGGGCACTTAATTTTAATTGAGATGAAGGGAACTGGTCTTTTTTCCTTCAGATCTCTCTTTTTCCTTTGAGGAAGTCCTTGTCCCAGAGTGCACATGGCATTCTTCTAAATTCCAA